ACATTAGTGTATTTAAGCTGCTGTAACCAACAAATATGCAGAATTTTTCACTTTTTTTTTCATGCAATTTTTTGCAATCCAGGTTATTGTTGTGGAGCTCTCAGCTCCAAAATCTGATGATTGAGAGCTGACCACATAACAGAACTGCTTTTACAAGTTCAGCTTCTGATTTGGAAAGCTTCTCCAACATGACAGTAATGCATCTTAGGTCTTTCAGTCAACCAGTATGTCTATTCCATTTTCACACACACTTTAGAAAGGTGCAAATAATATCGACAGTACTAACAGATATTAGGGTTAGAGCAAATCCATTTGTTTGGGCTCACCAAATAAAATATTGGAAACACAGGGATTTTCCTTCTGTTAACACAGTCTCCACCCATCTGCTTTTCACTTAATGCACTGCTGTAAACCTGAATTTCACTCAAACATGAGATAGTTTCTGTATCAAAGTGATTTCATATGACAGGACACATTTTCTTGGTGTAAAACTGATTCACAGATTCTCTGGTGCAATATACTATACCTTCAAATAACTAGCTATATTTATACCTTCAACACCTATAAATTAAACAAGAGTTTTCACTCCGTAAGAAGTGAGCCATTATTAAGCCTGTAAAAATCACTCATTCCTTGTGATTGTGTTTTGAAGTTTCAATAGAAAAAGAAGTGGAGAGGGTTGATCACTTTTTCCTCTTTCCTCTAAAAACATTGCTGACTCAAGGACATCAGAAAAGTTAGAAGTCACTCTCTAATCTGCAGAAACGCACCAGCAAGGCTTTCACTGAAACCATGGTATAATCTCTTTCCCTTCCTATTTTGGTTTTTGGTTAGAGTTAGGATTTGCTGATGTGACAGTTGGCCCTGGCTGTCAGAGCCCATAGACTTTGGATCACCCTGCTTGAAGAGCTTAGGCCAGCAACATCATGCAATACATTTCACAAAGAGTTTCTTTATTTCTTTACACCTGTCATGTAGTAATTGATATTTCAGCTGCTTCCTTCTTTGTCTAAACCTCCTCAGCTAACATCTGTTGATATCTAATATCTGGTGGTCTTACTCATCACAGCATTATATTTGGATTACTGTAAGACTGCTGAGGTGTTCTGTCATTTTCAGTTGCTTTTATAGTTGCAAAACAAAATTATTTCTGTTTATGTTGATTAGTTAATTGAACCCTTCACTGAATCGCTGGCCTTCAGTGGGAGTGGGTTTTTATTCCATACAAGGTAACAATTATAATTGATATAATTGATCATATTTTTTCTGACAGCACTACAAAATCAAACTTCTAACACTCATTTATTTCATTGTAGCCATACACAGAGGGAAAATCCAACCTAAAACAAATTCTACATTGCTATTCTACAGATGTAGGACAATAAAGCCAAAATCTTCATACACAGAAAACTCCTCCCTAAACTGGAGATCAGAGCATGTCATCATTTGAAACTTATTGAGACTGAAGCTGTGGGCTCACTGCTTGATTTTTTTTTTTCCAGATATTGCATCAAACGGGTTTTACATGAATGTAGGACATCCAGCAATGAATCAGAAAATGAAGTCATATTCAAGTGAAGGTCCCGTGGCTGTAGCCATAGGGATTCCACTATCTATTGCACATGGAGCTGCTCCTGGATCTGTGTCTGGCTGACATCATCGCAGCCTTGTTTCCCTAAAGGAAAGATGTCATATATTAAACTTTGACAAGTAAAGAGTTTCAAAGTATTATAGAAATAATGTAAATTCTTTGTTGGGGTGGATTGTCTTTTTGAAACATGGAGGGTGTAGCAAAACCAAAGCAGTTTTTGAACTTTTCCTTCTAAATTATAACAAACAACTTGTCATTTGTTGTAATGAGTAAATTAGTAACTTTTCTTCTAAGGTTTGTGATATACATTTCAGATTACAACTGGCAAAAATTTGAGACTGTCCTCCTGTGAAAAACGAGCCCACAGGTCGTTTGTGCAGCAGCTTATTACGACCCAAAGTCATGCGTTGTTGTTAGGCGATATCTAGTGGTCGTAGTAATTATCACAAGAGCAAAAAGAAAAGTGTGGTGATGTAGTATAAAGAGCAACAACGTCCGTGTCAGAATGGAGGTTGGGGTGGATGGATGGGTCAAAAAAAACACAGGAATATGACACAGAAGAATAGTGTTCGATTTCCATGTGAAACCAATAGTTTTTACCATTTCTATTATTCATGACCGTTCGTTGTCATTCCAGCCATGATAACAAGATCTGGTGTTGAGGAATTACTTATTAAATCATGATCTTTTCCTAAACCTAACAAGTAGGAGTTAACGTTGGGTACGCCGCTCTCGGTACAGTCAGGTGTTTATTATGGTAGCCATGACAACCGCGGTTCGGTACGCATGCCGCCGTAGGGGCGCTATTTCAGGAGACACTGAAAAAAGACATGGTGTTGAAAAAACGACCTATATGGTTGTTTACGTTGGAGGAGTTGTTGCAAAATTTACAACATTGTAAGCAATAAAAATGATGAAACTCTTTTATAAATACATCTAGAGGTGTATTGCCTTACAGTACTACAATGTTTTTGGAATTAATGTAATCCAATCATTTTGTAAGCTTTGTCAAACCGATCATATACCACAGCCAGAGCTTCAGCAGTATGCTTGACCAACTCTATAAATAGCATCATTACAATCAGGCAAGTGGGGAAACTTTTGTCAACTGGACCACACTGAAGAAGGAAATTAGGTTCTAATATCACAATAATGCATCCAAATTATGGCTTATTATCTGCCAATGAGACTGGCAGAAAAAAATCCCAGCAGCACAGCAAGCTATTGTTAATTGCCAATTCAAATCACATTCAGCTGCAGAAAGCTCCTGGAGGTAATTCAGATTTCACTGATGTCTTTCTTCTCTCTAATGATGACTAATTCATGAGACTAGTTCATTGTAAAGCTTCTGTCTTCATTGGCTTTAAGTCGCAGGTGGAATCTTTCAAGGACAGTAACACAATTATATTTGGAGATATGTGTAATGCAAATGTAGGTTGATTTACTCAACTTTAGAGACTTAAGCTGCTGGTTTGCTTTGATCTCCAGCAGGTAATAGCCACAGCTGACTCTAACTATAAGGGAATTGAATAAATGCACAGACCTCGCTGCCAAATGACCCTTATAATGTTATCCTTCAAATACGGCTCAGGCCTCTCAACTTATAAACTTGTATTTTGCTCTTGCTAATGTCCCCTCCTCAAAAAACGGACCAAATATTGAGACTGAGCATTTATACAGTGTACTTTAAATACAGCCCTTCATGTGGCTAAGAAGAATTCCCCTTTATCAACTTCTTCAAGCCCCGCATCTGCGATGTGTCGTCCGTCTCTCCTTGTTCCCACTATCTCCCATAAGGCCTGTCATGCTTTTGGTCCGCCTCTTGGTCTTAGAAAGGCAAATGTCCAGCAGAAGGTGATTGAAGTTAGAGACAAAGAAGGATTATTTGTCACCAGTTACCTTATCAACCCACTGAACTCTCCTCTGCACCAGGCATTTCTAATGTCCTCTCTAACTTCACAACTCGTGCCCCACACATGCAGAAGCAGCTCAACATTGTTATTCTATCAAAGCTATCATCTGTGTCATCTGTGGCTCAGTCCACAGTGAACATTTCCAACTTATCTTATGCTGCTGCTCTCTCATCCCTCCTTTTGTTATTGTTCCACTTGCTCCATCAGCAGCTGCCAAACCTCATAGTGGTGACACTGCCTCTCAGCCTATATCGCCAATCTCCTGTCTAAGTCAAACAACTTGAAACTTCTCCCAAAGTGAAATCACCTAGAGCCTCACTGTTTGCCTTTAAAGTGATCTGTTTCTTTTTATCTATATCATTTTCTGTTGCTTGAATGCTTTGGTCCACTCAGTAAACCACCACACCTGCACTAGCAAGTGCATCTGACAGCTACCAGCCCTATAAGGACCTAAACCGATAAGCAGAGCTTCAATCTGCTGTAATGACTGATAGCAATACTTAAGAGGCATCTGTTAATAACCCGACTGAGAAGCAAGCTGTGACGATGCTTTGGCTTCCACCACTACATCTGTGCTCGTCTCTGTTGAGAAAATAACCACAAGCCAGAGTCCTGTGTCTTTTTCATCATCTCCACATGCAGAAATGTCAATGATTCTGTCAAAGTACATTTTCAAAATCAGTAGCAGGTTTTTTTTTTTGATTGGTGACCTCCTGTAACTAACCAAATTAATCTGATGTCTTATTCATGTTTTCCTTACAAGTCTTAATCTTATAGATCTACAAGCTACATCCTGCATGTATTTAAAGCTGATCTTCTTAAAACATTCTTTTATAGGAAAACATAAATATTCAATATTTAATAGGCTATTTAATATGTCTCTGGGTTGCATCACCAAAATCTTGCTATTTTATAGTTTTAACATCATTTTATCCCTTGGTATTTTATGATCTATGATCTATTTAGTTTCTTTTTATTTGCTCTTGTTATATCTGCAGTTTTTTTTGTACTTTGTAACTTCAGAATACTGCTATATAAATGTACTTTATTACTATATTATATTATATTCTATAACTAGTTAAAAGTCTTAAAACTAGATTTTCACACCTCTACAAGACAAAGGCCACAAGATGGGGATAGTGGACCTAGTTTATTTTGTTGCCTACTTGTACTACAGTGGTACACATTTGTACAAATTTGTGATTATTTAAATCACGTAACCCAAATGGTGTGGAGTAGGTACACCTGGGGTTTTGGGTTCCCTGGATTTGTTAATTCATATATTAGCCTACTAGTTGGTAATCCAGCCTTGCAATGAGGTAGTCTCTTCCTTCATTATCAGACATAATATGTTTCATACTGTCAGTTATGGAATGACACTGCTGGTGGAGCTCTTGCGCTGCTCTGGAACGCCGAGCACACGCATTCTAGAATTGTCTCCAACGGTTTTGGCTCGTGCCCACGCTCCATGCAGGCGGTTGAAACGGTACGTCACGAGAAAGCGGCGAAAACACGCGATGTTTGGAAAGACACCAATGCATCTGTTGTAAACGTTAGAGTTAGCAAACTGTTTAGTTTTCAGTGGTCTTCTTTTGCCGGGCGCTACAGCTAGATAACATTGTTACCTATATCCTGGTCCAACGTGGGATTTTATTTGCTAAAACAGTGAAGATGTAAGTCTTGGAGTTACTATGCAATCGGTAATGGTCGTAGCTAACTAGCTACAAGTCTTAGCGGTAGTGTGGTATACTGTGGCTCAGACAGCTAGCATTAGCTAAATAAGCTAGCACACGAGTTAGCCTCAGCGGTTGCAGGGTTGTCAAGATTAAAAGGCACAGCACGTCGTTAAATCCACCCACAGCTAACTTTGCTTCAGCCTAACAAAATTCGGCACCAGCATGTCCCACAAACTGACAAGCACCTCGCTAGATTTGTTTACGTGCCTTATATCAGCTCAGTTATAGTCAGCTAGCAGGCTAATGTCAACCAACAGGACGAGGATAATGTTAGCACTGAAAAAGCATGGTGTCATGATTAGCTCGGAAGATTTCACTTTAGCTAACGTAGGCTAACGCCAACTTAGACACGCTCGACAGTGACAACGTTTCTCATACCACAAGCTGTCATTATCCCAGTCAAATATTTTTCTCCTAAGTGTGGTTCACATCCCAATGACGACTCATTTTACTGTTAATGTAGCTTTTCCTGACTCCCTCTCAGTATGACAATGTAATTGTTGCTATGTTTTATGTGGGCTGTCTGTAATGTAATGTTTATGATCATCAAGTGTTTCGAAACATCAGGTATTGTTTTTAGATAAATGGGTGAAAGATAATTCAGAGGCTCTCGTGTTAATGGAATGAATGAGTGAAGCTTTCGTCAACGTGATTCAAACGTGATTTGAGATGTACTGCACCCTGCTCACGTGTACCACCAGAGCAGAATGAGCACCCCTGGCTGTGAAATGATATACCCAACTAATATTAACAAACGTGTCACTCTTAGTGTTTGAGCAATTACCATGACATATTAGACTGAAGCATGGATTATGTTGTATTGTCTTAATATCACTTTATTTTCTGTCATTAGGCAGCCTGCAACAGCTAAGTGGTATGACAGGAGGGACTCTGTTTTTGTAGAGTTCTGCGTGGAGGACAGTAAAGATGTGCACGTAAATTTCGACCGGTCCAAAATGGATTTCAGGTAAGATGCATTAATAGCACATTATATTGCAATATTCTTGAGAATGTTTCTATTCTCAGAGCAAACTGATGAAGGACCAGTTTCCCAGAAGCATCTTAAAGATCCCCCCCAGACATGTTTTCAGACATCTAGAAATAAATTCTGCTTTCAATAATTTGGTTCTCATCTGTTTTTTCCACAAAAAAAACAATTAATTCCGAATATTCTTAAAGTTATATTTACTCCTCCTCCCTGATTTAATAAATCCAGACTCTATAAATATGAAAATATTTAATGTTTTTAAAGATTTAACTGCTGGACACAACGTGTCTCCTCCTTCACTGAAAAGTCTGTTCTCCGTGTGTGTTCACTGGAGGTTTCAAGTTTCCACCTCACACTAATGTGAATTACATATTGGACCATGATTGGGTCCCAAACTAGTTATGTCACAAAATCATCTAATTCAAACATTTCTTAATCGGAGATTTAAGATGTGTACAGAGAACCTTTTCCCCTTTAGCAGATGAATGTGAATACAGTCCCTCAGGTGTCAAACTCTGCACATAGATCATCCTGCACCGTAAAGCTCAAACAACCAAGTTAAGTAACAATAAACAAAACCCATTTAACATGAGCCTTAAGATGCATTTTGGAAACGGGGCCCTGATCTGTGGTATAGTGTATTAGAAGAATGATGAATTATTATTGGCAGCTGTAACCAAAAAATCATGACCTCTTTTCATTTCCTCTTACAGCTGTGTCAGTGGAACAGATAATATCAAGCAGCAGAATACAGTGGAACTTTTTGGGGAGATCGACCCCAAAGTATGTTTGTCACCTATAGTCACAGTTGTAGTTCTACCATATGTTTTATTCATGTAAAGCCTTCATCAAACTTTTTTTTCCATGCAGGAATCCAAACACAGACGCACTGACAGGTCTGTGTTGTGTTGTTTACGAAAAGCAGAAACTGGAAAGTCATGGCCACGACTCACCAAAGACAAGACAAAGGTCATTTTCTTTTGTTATAAAAAACAACAGATACTCATCATTTGTTGCAAACCAGATTCTGCCACTTTAATTGCCATCAATCTGAAAATAAATCTTGGGGAACTGTCAGACCATTTATTTAACGTCATTATTTTACATATGGGTATAATTAGCATCTGACTGCCATGTCCTGGCAGTATGATTAAAAGCACTAAAAATTCTTTGTTCTAAGAATAGTATGCCACTTAGCTGAGCAGTTAAGTAAACATTAGCATTGAAAAAAACAGCTGGAATAAAGTGATTACATGTCAAATATAGACTTAAACACTTGAATCTATCATCTCTTAGTGCAACTGGCTGAGTGTGGATTTCAACAATTGGAAAGACTGGGAAGATGACTCAGATGAGGACTTGTCAAGTTTTGACAAATTCTCAGAGGTAAGTATATTGAACATGCACAGTGCCTGAAATGTGAGCTAACCAGATGTACTGTAGTGCTGACAAGTCAATTGTCTCGTGCATTTCTCCAGATGATGAACAGCATGGGAGGGGATGATCTACCTGATTTAGATGGTGCAGACGATGAGGTATTTTTTTTACATATACATATAGTACTTTTTTTATGTGGTCCATATATTATGCCATATTTTTTGTTTGAAGAAATTTTAATCAAGTGAAATTTAAAAGGTAAAGCTTTGTAGGAAGAATTGTAATTGTTGTTTTTACTTTGTTTTGCAGCATGATTCTGCAGACAGTGACGATGAAAGTAAGTACCATTTCAAAAGAGCTGTCTTTATAATTAGTATAATCAGCAGTCACTAGATCCTATGGTGTGAGAAGACAACAGCCATAATGCTAGGTGATGCCAAGTGCGTGCAAGCAGATGAATCAGGATCTGTTACTAACTGATAAAATGCCTGTGGAAAAGATATCATCCAATGTAGTATGGTCATGTTGATGTAATGTTAGAAAGGGCTTGATTGTTTATTTCTGTCCTTGAAGGAGAATTGAGTTTGTTTAATCAAAAATGGCTATGATTAAGAGCTACATAAGAGATTGTTAACTTTTGACTTAAAAGCATAAATGGGTTTGTTGGGTATTAGATTGGATATGGCTGCAAACCATCCAAAAAGCTTCTGAGACCTAACTTTGTAGTAGGAAAATCAGTTTTATCAAATTATTTTTAATTACCTTTAAATTCATTTTTTGTTTGTTTTTTGTGTGTTAGTTTTCATTTAATTATTAGAGGTGAATGATTAGATTCAAATCTAATGCTGCTCACATACATCACATTTTCAATTTTGTCTCTGTTCCAGAAATGCCCGACCTTGAATAGATGAATCCAGAAGCCACCCCAGTAGTAAACAAAGCGAGTTATAAGTCGGTTGAAGAGAGAGACTGGGCATGAGTTGGCAGCCATGTTGGAGAAGAAACCTCATCTCTCTACGCAGTTTCCAAAGCGAAACCCCTCAAGGGAGTGACAGGGAGTGACTGTTGGATACAGACATGCACAGAGATCCATAGCGACATACAGTGCTGTGCTTTGCTGTTCTGTTCTGCATGGACGATTCTGTTCAAATGAAAATGTTACTGTTCATTGACTAATGGGATGTGCTGATGTCTTACACCTTCTCTCTCTGTTTTTTTTTTTCTTTTTTTTTTTTTTTTGCGATGTCAGGTTATGTATTCAACATTGTGATTTCTAATGAAAAAACAAACTCAGAAATGCCTATTTTCCAAAAAAGTAGATTTTTTTAATGGCAGATTTTTCCCCTTTAATGTTTGTATTGTAAATTGCACTTATGTTTGTTAATTTAAAAAGCAGGAGTTCCGCTTGAAATGGGTTTTCCAATCTATGCCAACATCTGCAAATATTTAACAATAATTTCGATTTTTAAACATTTCAGCATTTAAAATAAACGGATATGCTTGTGCAACTTACAGCTTGTGTTGAGATTATGGTAGTAGAGTGGTACTAAACTTTGCATATAGTTACACCTTGCAAAGGTGAGTTTGTGTCTCTATGCCAGTACAAAACATTGCACATTGTAGCAGGGTACACAAGTTAATTTTCTTCCATATGCATACTGCGGTGAAAGCAGAAATCCTATGTAGTCTACCAAGAGTTTCCCAAGTAGTGTAAAACGGTACACGGTTTGTTAATCACATACAATAGAACTATGCTTTGGAGGCTTGTGTGTTTGATTCAGTATGTGTTGAACACATTTGCATTTGTCTTATGCTGTGGGAGTTTGGGTATAAATTTCTAATAAACTGTTTAAGACTGTTCAATACAAGGCCTTACTATTGAAACATTGCTTTCAATAAAGTTAAACTCATTAATGAAGTTTAGAGATAAGATTAACTCTGGAAGGGTTGATTATTCACTATTGTGGGAATGTAGTCTCAGTATCAAACAATGTTTAAAAGACTACTCTGTCTTTAAACACCATTAACATGCCTATGTGTACATTCAATAAAAATATTGGTCATTTTAATTGCATCAATACTGGCCGCAAAGAGACTCTTTTCTAACAGTTCCAACATAAGAGATGAGAGACAATCACCAACCACCTGTCGGAAAAGGTTTTCTTAAATTAAACCAAGCTAATAAAGTGCTTCACTCTGAATTACATAAGCCATTTTAAAATAAGATCCCTTCTGTTTTTCCCTGCACACTGTTTCCTCACTGACCTGCAGTGGAGTGATTGTAACACAAAGGAAATTTTGTATCAACAGACTGGAAGACTGGGAGATAGCCTCTTGATTTGTCAATTGTTCAGGTGAACTTTAGAATGTATTCACCTGAGTGATGACTGTGTACTTTGTCTCTTACCTTGGAATTGTGTTAGGACATGATGTGCTCAGTGCCAGTATGGAAAGGAGGAACAATTACAATGACTAATATCACTTTCAATTTACAAATGGGCATGTGACTATCGCATTAAGACCATAGATGAAGTCTTGGAAGAATGAAATGTCACTCTGTAACCACTGTGTAGTGCTAATGCTTCACTGCACTGTATTCTCACTTCTCTATTACTATGCAGGGTATTTTAGGGGCTTCCCATCTCCTCTGTACTTTTACACTGAGACTAAAAAGGGAAATGGAGACCTGAAATTCCTCTATGCTGTAAGTTTCCAGTGTAAATTATTCAATATGTTGCTGTGTGTAATTTTTCAAAACATGGCGACTGCTGTAGATACTGTACTTAGTACAATCACAGAAGTTGTTAGCAAAGATATGATTCTCTGATGCCAATCTGATCATTCATGGCCATAAGAACCATCGATTATCGTCAGTGATATTAAGATAACAAATGTGCTTGATCTGTATGTTGTAGTCACACATCCCCTGTGTTCTGTAATACATGTTCTCACCACAGTGTGGTGGGTGCAGGCCAGAGTTTCTACTCCGCTGTGAGATGTTTAGGGGCTGCATCATGTTGTGTATGTGTCAGCAGTCTGGACCCAGGGAACAGAAAAATACAATGCAAGCACCTTTTCAACACCCTCCCCTGTAAAACTAAACTGTGGGCTTAAACCCACAAAAGGTGGCTTACCACTGATGGAGGGAGTCATGAGAAGGACATAATACTCATGACAATAGAGATGCACAAACTGGCAAACTAATAAACTTTCACCATCAGAACAACGAGATAAACACTGTCTTTTGAGGAAAAAGTGATATTCTCTCCAGCGACATCGACTGTCCACTGTCCTTCGTTTGGTGGTGGTAGAGTCGGTTCACCATGTTTCCCCTGAACGCCAAGTACAAAATAAAACATCAGGCTGCTGTGAGATTAATACAAGAAATCACACTGAATATTTGTCGACAACTTCCAAAGCAACCTACATCCTTTGAGGCATGAAAATGTATGCTGATTTGATTTGTGAATTCTCCTGATGCTGTTCCAACACAACTCTGGAGTGTCTATGGCGTAGAGGCAAAATATATATCTATGTATATATGTATAGACTGACTGCCCAAAAGGGAACTCACAGGTTCAACAGTGGTAGCTAGACAAACAGATCATAGAAACCAGCAGAAACTGTTACTGCCAGCATTTTGTTTCCATGCATAAAGGAGAAAAGCTGTGAGTTCAGCATAATCCTTTCAGAGGGCTGCGGCCGTCCCTCTGGCTGCCCTGGTCAGCATGATGCTCCAGTGCAGAAGCTCAATGCCAGGCCCTGCTCTCCCCTCTTCCTCTCCAACCGTGGATTTTCCACCGCTTTATCTGACCTGAGCCTCCAAACCCATCGAGCACACACAATGTAAAACTCTAGCCTAATCAGTTCTGCTGCCACAAACCTAATTTGTATCAATCCACAGCACAAGTGGAGAAATTGAGAAATTGCTCGTGCTTTGGCGATCGCAGCTTTGATTGGAGTGAATGTGAACTGTTGATTGCACATTTCAGCAGAGACAGTGAGAGCAAGATGGAAATCGAGTGAATGCTTGAGATTGTAATTACATTTATACTGCGCATGCAAAAGTATTTTTAAAAATATATTAGAAAAGAAGCAAAACTACCACTGCACTCCACTTCTCGCTGCACCGCAGGTGCAGCCCACCACATGCCCACTGCTGTTCTGTTTTCAGGTTTGACAGTCAGCGTAGCTTCTCAAGGGAGGTTTTGAGTCAGTCATGTTATGAATGGAGTTTTCTTCCACTTTCTTGGTAGTAGTGCTTCAACCAGGCTGTGGGTGGCGTTCAGGGGCTAGATCTCCACCTCCTCCAGTAACACCAGGGGTCCAGCTGAACCCCTGAAAGGCTGGAAAACCCCCCTGTGTAAATGTAAGATGCTGCAAACCATTTTGTTTTTGTTTGTTTTTTTTTGACAGAACAGTATTGCTATACCAACCACACTTTTGTTTACCTCCCCGCTGGCCCTTACCACCAAGGGCCAACCACAAGTCCCTCTTTTAAAAGCACCCTTTACTAACTAACTAGCTGCATTCTGAGAGCTTTCTTACGTGAGTGAGGTCTGTCCAGCTCCACTTGGATTATTCTCTGAGCCTTTTGAGATTGCAGCCTTTTAGGCCAGATTCAGAGTGATTTCCGCATTGAACAGACAGAGGGAGGTCGGGGCAGGAGAAGGGTTAAATGATTTTGTTTTGATTCGTAGTATTGTGCACTGGCCCCTCCCCCGGGATCAGCGGGGCTACTCTGGCCCTGGGGTGTTATAAAAAGGCCTCTGAGCTCCCCCTGCTCTGGTAAAGAGGCTGAATGTCTGCAGGACATGCTTAACGTTTGTCTATCCATGTTCTTCTACTAACAACCAGCAGGGTTGGCACATAGATGCACAGAGACTGGCGTGTTGCTCCACTCAGGAGCTCTCTATGACAGAAATCAGAATTCAGTAGGCAGAGCAGCAGATTATTCACAGTTACATGTTTACGTGTTGTTGCATTTAGCTTTAGAGAGGCAATTTCTGTTTGAGGGCAAATTTTTGTCATCTGCTTTGTGTTTTTTGGTCTCAAACAGTCATTATTGTGGAGAAGCAGAATCTCCCTTTAGTTGATTAGTTTGTTTTTTCTTTTGACTTTTCATCCCTCCATTGCTTAGAGGTTGTTTTTTGACCTTTTGACACCATGTGGGAATTCAGATCTATGTCCTTCTGGCGGGCGGTGTTTGCCGAGTTCTATGGCACCATGTTCTTTGTATTCTTTGGGCTGGGGGCAGCCCTCCGCTGGACCACTGGGCCCCATAATGTCCTCCATGTTGCCTTTTGCTTTGGGCTGGCGGCTGCCACCCTCATCCAGTCCATCGGCCACATCAGTGGAGGTCACATTAACCCAGCCGTTACTTTTGCCTACCTGATTGGCTCCCAGATGTCCCTGTTCCGTGCTTTCTTCTACATCATAGCCCAGTGTCTCGGAGCACTGGCTGGTGCTGCCGTGCTCTATGGGGTAACACCTGGCAACATGAGGGGAAACCTGGCACTCAACACGGTAAGATTACCTGCCAGCTGATGGAATTCTCTATGTCCATAACTAAAAGTAAGCAGGGTGGTTCCGAACCCCTGTATTAGAAATATTTCATGACATTTTTCACATACAAGATAAGTCTGGCATAAGGTCATTCAGAAGAAAAAATCACAATGTGTGTGTACGTATAAGAAAACTGCATCTGCATTATATACAACAGTTTACGTGAATCTAACAAATTTAAAAGCATGTTGTTTCATTGACTCCATCTTCCTTCCATCTTTCAGCTTCAGCCAGGCGTCAGTCTGGGCATGGCCACCACCATGGAGGTCTTCCTCACCCTGCAGCTTGTTGTCTGCATCTTTGCTGTGACTGATGAGAGGCGCAACGGACGCCTGGGCTCTGCTGCCCTTGCCATCGGCTTTTCTGTGCTCATGGGGCATCTTCTTGGGGTAAGAACCAACCCAGGGCCTAGAGGTTTGGAACAGCTTGCTAGGTTCACACAAGGACCTGAGCATTGTATCATATCACATATACATTCGCTCATGTGTATATTCTCCCCATCTTTGACTTAGATGTACTACACTGGAGCAGGAATGAACCCCGCAAGGTCCTTTGCCCCCGCTGTCCTGGTCAGGAATTTTGTCAACCACTGGGTAAGATGATCATATCTGTAAATCATTTGACAAACTCTTCCAAACAGTAATGTGACATCTTCAGACTCACGCATTCTGCACTTTGTCTTTTTTTTTTTTTTTTTTTTTTTTTTTTTGTCAATGACAGGTGTACTGGGTGGGTCCCATGATCGGTGGTGCCATGGGTGCTCTGCTGTATGACTTTATGCTGTTCCCCCGTATGCGTGGCCTGTCCGAGAGGCTCGCCACACTGAAGGGCACCCGGCCCCCAGAGGCTGAGGGCCAGCAGGAGACCAGGGGAGAGCCCATCGAGCTCAAGACACAGGCCCTATAAGCCTGGAGTAGAAGATTGGCTTTCTGACCCCCATCCCTCACCCGTCACGCCTCACTCTGCACCCTCAGTTCCCGGTCCATCCTCAGCCCACTCAGCGTTTCTGCACACATACCTCCTCCCCGCCTCCACAAATGTTCCCGAACTCCTTGTTGTTGTGCATCCAGAACTGGACCTACTGAATCACAGTGAAGGGGCACCCACAGCCCTGACCATCTCTCCTGATTTCACATCTACCCATCCTTCCTCCTCCTTCTCCTCCTCCTCCTCCTTCCCCTTGGACTGCAGGACAAAGATGGAGGGTTAGAAGAAGACTTGCCACTGAAGGAAGCTCCCTGTGCCCCGTGGTGTGGGGAGTCAGTCACTCCTGGCTGACCAGGTGGCTATAACTGCTCAGGACAGGGGCCTCTCTCTCTCTCTATCTTTCCTCCCCTTTCTCTCTTTTTCTGTTTTTCTCCCTATTTTGTAGTCTGCTAGGAGTGAAGCTACAGTAGAGCAGTGGACTTCTGCATGCTTTTCCATTTTGATCCAGTGTGATCTCACCCTTCGTTTTGTTTTGTTCCACGAACTTTGGGTAAATTACATGTACGTATTGTACTTTACCAA